CTTGTAATATATAATTAAGGGAAGTTTATTAGAATGACCTTGTCAAGGAAAGATTTGGACTAGAATGACCTCTATCTTTGAATATTATTAGAATGACCTTGAAAAAATTTTAATTCCTATGTTAACCTTATTTCATTTGAAGACAAAAACCGTATTTACGAAACTGCCATTAATGAAGCAGAAATTTTGTTCCGCCTAAATTAAATAAGTCTACCATTCTGTTACGGTAGACTTATTAAACGTCTGGTAGACTTATTACGGTGTACGCGATGGTGGACTTATTTATAGTTGTGGTAGATTTATTATATGTGGTAGACTTATTCGTAGTACTGGTAGACTTAATTTTGGGATCCGAAGACTTATTTGTAGTAGTGGTAGATTTATAAAATTGTCGGTAGACTTATTACGGTGCAGGCAGTGGTAGACTTGTTTATAATAGTGGTAGACTTATTGTAAGTAGTGGTAGACTTATTGTAAGTTGTGGTAGACTTATTAAGTAGTTACGGTAGACTTATGCGTTGTAGTGGTAGACTTATTTATAGTTGTGGTAGATTTATTTTTGAGTGATAGACTTATTAGTGGTTGTGGTAGATTTATTGTTTGTGACTGGTAAACTTATTGATGGTTCATGCGATGGTAGACTTATTTATAGTTATGGTAGATTTATTTGTCAGTGATAGACTTATTAGTGGTTGTGGTAGATTTATTGATGGTTTGCACGATGGTAGACTTGTTTATAGTAGTGGTAGATTTATAAGATGTGGTAGACTTATTTGTAGTACTGGTAGACTTAATTTTATGATCGGTAGACTTATTTGTAGTGATGGTAGATTTAATTTTTTGATTGGTAGACTTATTGATGTTTAGCGATGGTAGACTTATTTATAGTAGTGGTAGATTTATAATATCTGATAGACTTATATTTAGTGGTGGTAGACTTAATTATGGTTTCGCCCTATGGTAGACTTGTTTAAAGTTGTGGTAGATTTATTAAATTTGGTAGACTTATTTGTCTTTGTGGTAGACTTATTAAATCTTTTCAGAGTTTTACTAGAATGACCTTACTTAATTACAGTTATGGTAGAGTTAATTTTGGTTACGGTAGACTTATCGATGTTCGCGCGATGGTAGACTTATTGATAGTATTGGTAGATTTGTTTGGCTATATTCACTTACGATAGACTTGTTTCTGAATATTGAATGACGATAAACTTGTTGCGATTCGAATAAGCGTGATGGTAGACTTGTTTGTGGTAAGGGTAGATTTGTTTGGCTATATTCAGTTACGATAGACTTATTTCTGAATATTGAATGACGATAGAGTTGTTGTGATTCGAATAAGCCTGATGGTAGACTTGTTTGTCGTAGAGTTAATTTTGGTAACGGTAGACTTA